AACTTCAGCTGTCTTTATGATCTTGATGTCAGACATGCTGTCTGACCTCCAACGGAATGTTGCATTCAAAACAGTCCAAAGCTGTCTCACCTGTCTTTTCTCATGCTCACACATTGGAATTATAGAACACGGCAAGTACAGTTTAAAGCATGTGATGTCCATTGGTTTCACTACTCAGTTTTGGCTGGAACATAGTGGATAATGAACGAACGCTGGGCAACGGCGAAACCGGATACTCTGCAACCAAACTGAGTCAGTCGGGCATAAGGCACACGTCAGGTTGTAGTGGCTGGACCACCGATAAAATTCAAGATGTTTCCCGGACCTTGTCTGCTCTGTGTCTCTGCGAGTTCTTTTCAATGGCTGCATGAGTGGTGAATTACATTAGAACTTCTAGATTTACAAGTGGTTTGCGAATTCTGTGTTCCACTCGATCTGAAAAGGAGGCCAGCGAGGGGGCAAGCGAGGAGCCAGCGTCTCACAAGGCAACCAGGTCCCAGTTGGCCAGTCTGTGCGTATCAATCCAACATGTCGGTGTCACCAGTTGCCCAAGAACTCGCCCCGCGAGCAGCAAACAAAAGAGTGATGATTCCATCGGACAAACAGCACCAGCAGACCTGAACGTTTTCGATGTCACAGGAAATACCTGGAAATCGTTGAGGTTGAGCCTTGGATCAAGGCTAAATACAAGGATGGCTAAGACTCAAGAGTAGTGAGAAATGGCTGTGGGTCAAAATCCTAAACCCTGGTAGGTTGACATCCCTTCTTGGAAGAATCGGTTCATTTTCCGGGGTCAACCAGGGTGGTCAGGGTCTTGACCCATAGCCAAATGGGTGTTCCAATGGCGGCCGGGGACAGCCGAGCTTCCAAACATGATGAGCTTCCGGCGCCAAGTTTCACCTCTTGGGCTGGGAGTTCTTTCGCATGAACCTAGTAACTAAACTCGTTCGCTTGAGCTCAACGAATACGCAGAACTTGGTGGACAAAAACACGCAGGAGTTTTGGATTGATTTGTCCTTTCTCAATGCATTGGAATTGGGATGGAGAGCCGAAGTTTTGAGCCACTGCCAAATGTCTTAAATTGCTTGAGTGCAAGGTGGTTTGACTTGAACCCTCAGTGAGGAATACAGTGACCTCACATGAGTAAGTTCTGAAGAAGGTGGTCCTTCTTTTCAGATCTTTTCAGATCATTTCTGATGTCATGTGTACGTCTGGGTCCCACCAGATTGAACCTTGAAACTCCGAGGCCAGTGGCTGAAGAATTCCAAAAGCTTCTTTCAATCCCGTCAGCCCCGGCAGTCAGGCGCTGTCTCGTTTCAAGGATGTTTGGAATGGGTTTGGAGGGTCTATAAGTACCATCTGACCGTGTAGGACTGGAAAACGAGGACCACTTGAGAACTGACCGGCTTCATGCGAACTGCAGATGATCCAAACATCAAACGAACCAAACTGCAAATCATCCGAACCCGCTTCAAGAGGGCTGTTTGTTGCAACATGATGCAACATCAGCCCATGTCATCGCATGTCACCCCAGGAGCTCCAGCTCCAACGACCACGGGAGATTTTCTCCTTTGATCGCCGTGACGGACCCCCCTGGAACCCTATCCACCCCAACCACCGAACCTCAGGTCCAAATGGAATTATCCACCCGTGCGGGCTCGAGTCGTATCTTGTGATAAGGTGGGACTGGGGTTGGTTCAGAGGGTCTGGTCTTACCTTCAGAGCTGCTTGGAGCCCTATAGACAATAACATGGTACAAGAAATTGAGGTGATTTTACAAAGAGTACCTTCTGCTTGGACCACTATAGTCCCTTGCAGCTCTTTTTGGAAGATCCTTTCCGCTGTCATCGGTTGGATGGGACCAATTGAGCCAACCCCCGGTTCCGAGCGCGACAGCGGGTTTGGGCGCCATGGGTCAGGCTCAGGCGTTCCTGGCGCAGCAAAGCAGTGTTGGGTCTTTTGGAATCGTTTGATTCATCAATATTATTTAATCAATAATGATCTTATTTTTGTTGGATGTGGGCTCCTTGATTTAGAATTATAAGGAAAAAACCCATATGACGCAAATGAGGGTGGAGCGGTACCTTGATGGCCCCAAAACTGGTGGCTTCCACAAGCGCCAAAACACCAAACTCTGCGGCCCCCAACAGCTTGGTCTTGGTCTATTGTCCCTCGCAGTCGAAACGGGGGGTCGGTCTATAGAGATACACCTTGGCGGTCCAGAGCTCGTCAGCTCCTTGATTGGCCAAGGAAAAGAACGGACTGAGCTCCGCTTCTTCGCGCCACAAGCCTCTCCACGTCCGACCTCGCTCGCTCCGCGCCTTCGTGCGCTGCCCGGTGCGGCCCGAAGGTCTCACCCCGACGGAGACCCAGCAGTTCGGAGCCCAACGGCCGGTTTGGCGCGATGCGACGTCGGCGTCTGAAGAGTCAGAGGTTCGAAAGAAGAACATGCTGATGTGTTCAAGGATGGGTTCAAGACATGTGAGTCTGCGAACAGTTTCAAGAGGATCTAAACTCAAGAAATCTATCTCACATGTAGACCTAACTTGATCAAAGGATATCAAAGGCATACCATGGAGTTTCCTGTGATTCACAGCTCCAGCCATCAGTTGGATCCCATCGCACGGTGTTTGGACCCAAAACCGAACCGTTTTTTCTAATCATCCAATCTTTTCACAGCAAGGCTCGATGCTTCTGAGGTTGTGTTTGTTCAAGAACCTAGACAAGTACAAACTGGACATGGACAAAAAAAACACGGCAATCACAAGTTACCAAGAAATCCAAGAATCTGCTTGGGTGCAGTGGACACCAAGGAACTGATCGAAACATCTCCGCCCTTGCCGCTCACGTTCTCCCAGGCGTTGGCGAACGGGTATACATCCGCATGTGTCCAACATGAGGGTTCACCCCGTTGGGGTCACGTTTAGTGCCCAGCCTGTCCACCCGCACCCCCAGTGTTTTGCTGCTCCACGAAGTGACGGCGAGGTGCAATCGGCGCACATCGGCGCAAGCACAGGTGAATCGGACGGTTCACTTGCAATCGTAAGGGATCCTTCTGCTGCTCGAGGTGTTTGAGGGGGGGGGGCCCAAGGAGCTCCGTTTCCAAGGTGTCACCGATGGGTTTCAGGGGTCCTTGAGTCCTTCCAACACCTAAAACCAAACAACACACCAGAACTGGTCGCTTGAAGCCCTGGCATGCCCTAGCATGCCCTGGCATGTATGGGGCTTCAACGAGCGTCTCGATTCTCCACTCCGCTCACAGGCGACTTCGCACCGTTGCCCCCACCGTCCGTGGGTCTCGCTGTCCTTTCACAGCGGCTGAATCGTCGTGAGACCGGCGGTTGACCGGTGGGCGGCGGTCTCCGGCCACTGGTCGCACCGAATTGGGGTGGAGATCGAGATCACGTGGGTCGGGTCTATCCGAGTCTGCCAGGGCCCAGTGGATGATGATGGTTAGTAAAGGCCTTGTTCAAAAATATGTTCTTGTTTGCTGACTGTTACACTCAGCCGCGGAAGTCACGGCGTACTAGGAAAAAATTGTGTTCCCCAAAGTAAACGCGACGCCAAGACGGGGGTCCCGGCATAGTCCTTGCAAAAACGTTGTTCCCGCGTGTACACGCGATGATTTGTGAATGTTTTTGGTGTGTTCTCCCCAACACAGTTCTCATGTATTCAATACAATGTTCCCGCATGTAAACGCAATTATCTTGTGAAATGTCACTTAGCCATGTTGTGCAAAACGAGGTTCCCGCTCCATCCGAAGCACAACTTTCATGCATTCACAACAAGCTTCTGGCATGGAAACGCAATGACTTAGCAATGATGTTAATCTCCTTGTGGTCCCTTGACATCTCTTTGGACCAGGCTCTGGACACTTTACTTGAATTGCACAAGTTGTAGAGAGGTGTCGGAACGAGGCTGAACGAGAGGGTGAATGAGGTCAGAACCCGTGCCACCAAGGAAAGCACTCAGAATGAAAGCCTCTAGTTGCCTCATCATGTATATGCTCTCGCCCCTGTCCTTCTTTATTTCTTTCCTTCCTTCCTTCCTTCCTTCTTGTTTCCCCGCTTGTCTGCTGTGATCGGCGTTTTGTCTGCCGCTGCTGCCTTGTCTCCTTACTTGTTTCCCCACTCGTTTGCCTGTGCGATCGGCGTTTTGCTTGATCGTCGTGCTGTTTGCCGCTGCCGCCTTGTCTTCTCCCCAACTAAACGCAACATCGCCACGACTTCCATAGATTCAAATCCCTAAGTAAACGCTTCAAAAAATGAATGTCGCCACGACTTCAACATTTGAGAGTACAAGTAATAGGACAGACCCAAAATATCACCTTCTTCCAAGGATCCAAGCCACGATACCTTTGATGCGTCTTGGCCCGCTGGAAGGGTAGGTACAAACATGTAACAACCGGCTGGCCTTCTTTTCGAGGTATACACTAGGGTTGTCATGTCAAAGGTGCGGTACAACGTCGGAGTTTATACTAGCTTGCCACAAGTTCCGGCATATACACCTGCATCAGCGACCTATCTTGAATTCGTTTGAAGAAAGAGCATGCAGGGGCCCCAAGCAAATCGTACAACCCAAGATCAGATCCGAATCGGGACCCCCCAAAAAGTGAACTTAAAGAACCAACTAAGACCGTTTTTAGAACTCTGAGATAGCCTGCTCATCTCTTCGTTGAACTCGAGCTGAAAATCGATCTCCCCGTCCAAAAAGCAGGACCCGAACACCCTGGGACACGCCCAGGTGGTCTCCGGGTGCAACGTTCTGGCCGTGGGCGCTTGGAGCGTGGGCGTTCGTGGCTGTTCCAAGCTTTGAAAGCTGGAAAGAGGCAAATCAATCCTATTAGATGCCTTCCTATGGCCTCCAACTTATTAGCAATGGCCTCCTACCTAGCGATGGCCTCCAACCTAATAGCGATGGCCTCAAACCCAATAGCGAAGACTCAGATTCCAGGAAACCATATATTATGTTTCTCATGGAAACCATGGTACTTACAACAGGACCCCTCCAGGTTTTGTGCAAATTATAATTTGCTGGGTGTTCTGAACTGAAGTGTCCTCTTGCTGACCCCCTTGTAATCCATATTCTCACAATCTCATGTGGGTGGCCAACGGTGTCCCCACACCAAGCGAGCGCTGTACAGGTACGGCCCGCAGCTGTCAGTTTCCTCCAAGAAGGTCCTTCACAGTGCGGCGTCAAGGCACTGACAGACACTCGGAAAGCAAGGTCCCTGGGCAGGCCATGGTACCAACCGACATCACAACCTGTGGCAGGTCACTGACGGTGTCACCCCACATCGAGCTGTGTGAAATCAAATGAAGAGATGGTCAAGCCACCACAACAACAACAGAATTCATGCCAACAGCGCTGAAAAAGCGTTGAAACCCGTTTCAACTTGCAACATGTTCGGTTTGGTTATCACGTTCACCGCCCTCCGCTCCTCAGGGGTTCAAAGCATATTGCACAGGCAGCTGCATCCTGGCTTTGGTTGCAGAATGCCAAGAGTGTACTGTACATGGCGCCTTCTGATAGGGGCGAAGACACAATGCAATGCGAGATTGCAACATCAACTTTCTTTCTGCCAAGTGCAATCACGTGTTGCGCATGTAACTGAGAGAAACCGGCCTACATGATGATCACATAATTACATTTCATGACATCCGAGTCCAACACCCAAACCCTACTATTCTGGGTTCAAGTTACCAGTACCAGTCTGACTTTGTGCCTGTCCATGACTGCGTCGTCGTCCGCGAGCATTTCCGTGAGGGAGTTCAAAGACCCGTAGCGCCGCTTCCACCACCTTGGGCCGTGGGAAGCGGCAGCCGCTGATGTGGGGGCGACCCTGAAAGCAAAACCAATGGACGCGTTTGTCTTCGGGTGTTTTCTGGTTCTCATTTTGGATTTGTGTGTCTTTGTGTTTATCAATGTTTTCCTTTGGGTTCTTCTCCAATTGAATTGGTTTTGAAAATGGTGTTATTTGTGTCCACATGGTTTTCCTATGTGTTATTCTAGCTGTAATTTGTGTTTTCTGTTTGTTTTATCCTAGGTTCCTCTAAATGTAGATTGTCTGATAATTCCAAAACAATCAAGCAGTCTAATTATGCCTCTGATAATTAAGTTTCTTTGGGCATCAAAAAGTGTATCATGGTGTCTCAGTTCCTCCGCTTCGACTTCGAAAGGACTCTCTCCTATTTCCAGCCCGAGATAGATAGATGGATAGATACCACAGTTGCCGGGTGTTGTAGGACACTTGAATGTTTCGGAACGACCTGCAATGTAGAGCCTCTGATAATTGTGTTGCTTTGGACATCAAAAAGTGTATCCTCAGTTCCTTCGCTTCGATTTCAAAAGCCGTATACGGCTGGCATTTGGCTCTTTCCATGTGCAGGTGGTTGTCTGGTCGTCCTCGGAACATGCTTCCGCGCTTTTGCGCGCAGGCCCCTGACAAATTATCTGTTCGCAAAGTGAGGACATCATTATTGGAACGAAGTTAACCTCTTCACCCTTGAAGTGGAGTCTATATATCAGTTTCAACACATCACAATGCAGTTGAAAACTCCATCAAACTGGCTACGAACATCGTCCGAGAGTTGATCCATATGCCACACGACTCCAGGTCTTAGAGGACCTAAAAGCACATCAGTCGTGTTGGGTTGTCTACACCCAAACACACCATGTATATAATATATATATGGAACACATGCATACATTGACCCCCCAAAAAAGCCACCACCCCGGGCCTTTTCTCAGCCAAACGATGGCAGTGTTTATGGAGAACCCCCTTGGGCCACGCAGGACCGGACCGCGCGAACCCCTCGCGACGACCGTGCCGCCCAGTGACGACTGTGCCTCGGAAGGCGTGCGCGACGACGAAACACGATGAGTCAGTGGGTTCATAAAGTGACCCTTTTAACAAAAAGAGTGTTGCAGGTGTTGCATCTATTTATATACCAGTTCACTAAAAAGCATGTTCCGGAGGAGGGCACCAGTCTCCTTCCCGGCAATTAGCGTATGCCTGGGTTCATACACGGAAATTAGCACCAGAACTTCAAGAACAGGAAGCAGCAAATCAGTCCACATCCCCCTCCACCCCACACACAAAACATGTACAACTCAGGAAGTAGGTTTCGGTTGTACAGTTTGTTGTTCCGTTTTGAAACAAGTCGAGTCCAGTCCAGTCCTTGGCTGGGTCCCCGACCTCACCCATCTTCAAACTCTTTAGGCCTTGACTGTTGGTCGGTGGAGTGCGCCCTGGCGCCACGGCGGGTCACACGGGCCGGGCGGCGCAAGTCGGCACGTCAGCACCCGGTCGGTGTGTGGAAGTTGTTTAGGAAAGGGAACGAAGGAAACGGCTCCGGCGTGAAAGAAGTACCACATCGTTGCACGGTTAGTATGCATGTGTTTTTGTGTGCAAGAACGACGATTTCAACTAACATGGACCCTGAAAGCCACATGGTTTGTATAGAGGGAGTGGGTTGAACCATGAGTGCCTCTCGGACCTGATGAGATGCATGGGGCCTTTGTCTGGGCCTCAAAAAGAGGCCTATGAAACGCAGGCAGGGCTTTGGGCCATCTACTGTGAAACAATGGTTTTCTCGATTTGCTTTTCAACCACTACATGACACGGTAGTCTGGTCCTTTTCTCTGAAAAAAACCAACCGGCCCAACGGCTCCAAAGTGGGTCGATCTCCCTCTATTTTGAGCTGCACACCCACATGGCAGTGAGTATTTCTGATGGGCCAGGACCTTCAGTCCGTGATCTTCCTTGTCCGGATTCGGACCCTTAAAAAAAACAATGGGAGGGACCCCTTCGACCCCTGTTTAATAGAGGCTTCGACCCCTGCGAAGGGGTCAGGTCCGTTCGGATCCAGTCCACGACGACAGCGCCTCCACTGCGTGGCATGGCGGGCGCCTGGCCGGGCGCCGCGACTTTCGTCGAAGCACCGGGCTTTCGGCCGCCCTAATCACCGATCAGGCCACACCTGTTTTTGAGATGCAAAAGAAGAAGGATACACGGAATACTCGGGTTGTAGAGATGGGATTCCATTTTTCCATTCGCCTAGGTGTCCAAACACCCTTGATTTAATAAATGTTAAGTTCTATTTAGGATTTTACACTACAAAACGAGGTTTTCTGAAGTCTATTACTATAGGGATTCTGTACCACTCACCCTTGCCCAAGCACGTGCTCTTTTGAACCTTTTTAGAACGACTTGGGTGCCTTTTGAGAGGCTCGGCCTATGGCCCTATGGTTTTTCCGGGCGAAATGTTAGGATCCGATAACTGCTTTAAATTCAAGCTGCCGGCGGTGGTTTTGGCGGTTGCTTCTATGGGTGTGGCCGGAATCCCTGGTATGCCCCGCCGCGACTGTGATCAAAACCCTATGGATCAAAACTCTGATCCAAACCCTATGGACCAAACTGCCCCCAGATATCCAGATATTCAAGTTTATGGTTTCCACTAACCTGTTTTCCTCTTCCTTTACATTTGCCATCCAAGGGTTAAGTTTTTCTCTCCCAAAATAGATAGAGTGGAAGTGATGTCACTTTGGAGGGCCGTGTGGCCATCATCCTAGCAAACCGTGCAGAATGAAATTGATTTGGGATGGTGGCAGGCTTCTAGCTGTCAAGCCTGGTTGAAGCCTTCCAAAATGAAGTTTCTGGCCCCCACTGGCAAGCCTTGCCAAGCGGAGTTACTGGGCGCCACTATGCTCTTTCTGGCCTTCACTTTGTCCATTTTGGTGGCTGTGGGGCTCTGTAGGGCGAGTCTCAAGGAATGATGTTTCCGGACGCCGCCTGCCGCCTCCCTCACTTCAGTCATCGTGTTGGCCCCCGTTTTGTGCCAGAATGGTGGCGGGCGACGCCCTACTTCACCACTAGAATATAGTAGCCCAATTATTTACTTATAGCGTCAGGGCGTAGGACGAAAAACTCACTAGCATAATCCATAAACCTATATAGGTTCGAGTCCTCCTTGGGATGTTTCAGGCCTCCACTTTTTCATTTAGGGCAATGGTTTCTAGCTATCAACCCTGGTCGGGCAACCCTTTCTTCATTTTGGGTGTTGGCGGGTCAAGTAAGCGCCACTACGTTCACCCATGGGGGAACCGTTGGCCGCGGTGTCCCAGAACCGCAGCTTGAAAGCAGCAACGTGGCCGTCGACAGTCTTGACAAGGCCGTGCATAGGGTCCAAAGAAGCACCTGTGCATGCACTTTGCCTGCTGCTGCAGGCTGGTCGCAGTTGCCTTCTTCCACTCTCCCAACTCGGCGGTCCGTATCGTCACCAGAGGCATCATACCAAAGGCCAACTTTCTCCATAGCCTTGAACTTGTCGAATTGCCCACTGATGCCTCGACAGTTCTAATAGACGTGACTGCCATTGAACCGCAATCTCAAAGCTTGCGTTGCCGGCAAGTCACATCCATCACCATGAATCTCAAAGTCTCGCTCAAATCATAGGCCTCATGCAGGAGATTTGCACCGGGCCGCATAGTGGTCAAAATCGATGAAACCATATAGGCACCCCAGGACAGGGCCCTTTGGGCTGACCGATTTCCCCCAGGGCAATGGCCGCCACGAACATGATTCACCGAATGATGTGTTTTGCTATCACCGAAGACATCTGCCAGCCCTAAAAAGGAAACGTTGTTTGAATAGGAGGTACTGGAGGTTCTTCAAGCGGACACGGCTCCGGGCTCGAGCCAAGCAGGTAGCCAAGCAGCTTTTGCAGAAGTCTACTCTCTCAAAGAGAGAGCTCATGTGTAAAGCAACAAAGCACAAAATACGTTACCAATGTAAAACTTGGTTCAAATCTAACGCGCCTGTAAAAAACACACTTTCGATCGTTCTGCGCAACCTTGAGGGAAAGTCCTTCCAGTTATGATTTTTGTATATAGCCAACAAAAAATCTTGCAAGCTAGCCAAGCTGAGGTATGAGGGATCTACCATGCTTGTCCCAAATCAAGTGGATTTTGTAGAGAAACATCCTCCAGAAAGACATCTGTTGTCGACAAAATGACTCTACCAAATGTTGTCTACAAGAGACCCGACTCTCTACAAAACGAAGTCGAAATGCAACCTAGTCCTTTTGGGTCGAATGAGCCTAAAATCGCTACCCTGCAAAAAGACCCCTCGACTACTCAGATCTCGTCTATACAAAGTGCACGGGGTAGAGCTATCTGTCTACAGGGTTCGCTGTCGCAAAGGTGGCTCCAACTTCGCCCATTGGGTGTGCCCGCCCCCGAGCCCGCGCCCGCGCGCACACACGCTTGTGCGAGCGGGTGCGCGAGTGCGTGTGCGTTCGGGTGCAGGTGTGCATGTGCGTACGTGTGTCTGAAGCTGAGGTTGCCAGGCTTTTCACATCAGACCCTCGTGCGCACACCTGTGTGGGAGTGTGTATGCGCAGGCGTAAGAATCTATGCTAATCGTTGATTTTGCTGCGCAGTCCCCCCACGGGCGTCGCCGGTTGGCGAAGCCTGTCAGTATCCCTACAAATGCTATCAAACTCTTTAAGGATATGTTCTCTACAAAATGCGACTTCCACACTTGACTGAACAGTCCCATTCTCAAAGCTTCGCTGTTCAAATATCTCTACGACATGGTCTTCCACATGTTTGAGTCAGAATGAAGTCGAAGACGCGGCTCAAATCTCTACAAAATGATACTTGTGTGTCTACAAAATGCAGGGTGTGGGTTGACCCTAAAAAAAGCAACTCTGATGTGGAAAGAGCAACAACAATGATTGATTTGTCTACAAAATGGCCTGCTGATATAGGCCCCAAAGGCCCCGATTCTGCATGTGGATGAAATCTTAACGGGGATCCATTGGCTCTACTACAAAAGTGACTTGGCTGCATAGTGGAGAACCCCAAATCTGGGACCACCACGTATCACCTGTCTGAGTACGTACGAGCGTCATCGATCTGACGCTCAGGGTCGGAGCATTGGCCGAGAAAACTCACCGATCGAACCCCGACGCTTCTACTCGCGCTTCTACTTGCTACTAAGATCTACTAAGTGACTTACACCCGGGAGCGCCGGTGCAAAGTCATCCACGAGGAAAGGAACCACTTCTGCACGTCGAACGCCGAGTCAACACTCTGAACTTCTTGGCTTCGGGACGATGTTTGTTTCATTTCTCTGCATCCCCCTGCCTGTGTAGGTGACAGAACCTCAGAAGTTTCCCGTTACAACAAACATCCGTAGTCGCAAATGCCATTGATTTATCACCTCTCCATGTTGTGCTATCGCATCGTCCCAGAAGTCGTAAGTCAAGGGAACACCATCCAGAAACCCGGCATGGGAGGTTTATACGCTCAACACAAACCCAGGATTTCCGCGAGTGTTGGGGCAAACGGAAATATATTGCCATCCAGTAAAAGCTGGACATAACTGCTGGGGTTCTACCCGAATCAACCCCGGCACACTCCCAATTGAGCAAATGGCATGGTTGATCTTCAAATCAGAAGCCATATACACTCTGGTCTCACTAACATGGAAGCAACATGGCATGGGTCCGAAGACACTTCACAAACCAATGGTGCTGCATGCCTCGGGTACAATCACCGATTACAGAGCATTCTTGCGAACTCATCTAAGCCCCCCCCCCCCCACCGGATGCCAACCGACGCACGATGACGCACCATCGGTGGAAGGTGAAAATGCATCAGAGAACGGCGGATGCCGACCACAAATCTGGCCCAAACTCCGGCAGCATCTTTTCAACCACTGCCAGAAAGAATCTAAATACATTACAGTCCCATTGGAGTGGTATGGGTGAGATCAAACAACACCGCCTGAGAAGCCGGGCGGAGCTTTGAAAGCGTGCCTGGAGTCGGGGCTAAGTCGTCGTTCAGTTGTTCAACGTGTGTGGAGAAAGGCGTTTTCGGTTGTTCGCCAGGTTGATCTCCTGCCACTTAGTCGACGAAATGGGATCTATGTAAAACAAATTCATAATCCAAGTTTATACCCGAGACACTCAATGTATGTCATATATGCGTATACATTGACCCCCCAAAAGCACCCTAATGTAGGCATATATATGGCATACATGGAGTGTCTGGGTACAGGTTCATACACAGTTCACATGCTGAATCTAAAAACAAGTTCCTACAGTTTCAATCGATGTGGGATCATATGTTTGGGTGCAAACGGATGATCTCAATCAAACCCAACCCAGAAGTTTCACACACCCTTTTGGGCAGGGCCCGAGCCCTGCCCGGAGTCTCCTGGATTGCATTCTAAGAAGGCTCAACTCCAGATGTTGACATGAGCTGCCAACGCATTGGACATCGACCGAAATCCTCCCTCCAAGCTTCAGAAGTCCGTCACTCGGTGGTCACTCCCTTCGAGTCACTCGACGGGCCAAACCTCACATCTACGCTCCAGTCGCATGGCTTGAAAACATGTTCACCTCCCCTGTTTAAGGCCCTAGTACTAGTAGTTTTTTGTTACTAGTAGTAAGGCACTTATTACTAATAGCTTCTTATGTTACTACTAGTAAGGCACCTGTTACTAGTAGCGTGGCACTTGTTCCTAGTCGCATGGTTTAAGGCCTTTCTTTTTCACGTCCCCAGACCAGAAGTCCGCCCAGTTCCATTCTTCGAATTCACCGGCCAAGATGAAGACCCCGACGCCTCCGTCCGTCCGTCCCACACGTCGCCTGCATGGACAACACACCTGTCGGCGCCGACCGGTTTCGAAGAAGCGACCGAGCGTTCGCTTCACCGCTAAACCTGCAGGGCAGCCGGCTGAAAGGGCAGCCCTCGCCCGGCAGGTGGCGTTCACTTCTGAGTGAAAGGAACGTGTTTGGGCTTTTTCAGAAAGCCAATTGGCTGAAAAAGCCCAGATGTTTAAGGTCTGAGAAAAGCAACAAGGAGTGATTTAGCATGCAAAGGAGAGCTTACACGTGACGATCTCTCGACCAAAGGGTCTAGAGTCTATATATACTGGGCCCCAGAGAGGTAGGAGCTTGTGGAGCACAGTTGGGGCATAGTCTCATATTAGAGCCTGTAAAGGTTCAATGCCTCTGGGCAAATGTGCCACCATGAAGTCTTGCGGTCGAAGTGAAACATTTGACCCGCACCCAGCAGCTATAGAAAATATGTGCGTGCCCACACACTCCATGTATTTGCATGCTTTGGGGTGGTGTTTGGTGGTGAATGTACAGTAATGTAGGTAAATATGCCACAATTGTGTCTGGGATATAAGCAAGAATTTCCAATTGACTCCTATCACCCCACCTGGAAGTCGTAACCCACCGCTGCCAGGGAGGTAAGATGAGTCATGACTGGACTATGCAAGGCAATTCGTTCCCTTTTTCAGACTGGACCAACAGAAACGACCCTACGCACCTCAAACACAACAAAATCTATGACATCTTTACATCAATTCACCTTTAAAGAACACATTGATTTACCTACTACATTGCACTCCAAAGGTAATTCATGGTTTCTAATTCCAATGGCTATGATTTTCTATGCCAGACGACCCCCCACGGTCATCGGTCACTCCGGCCTGTGACCGTGCGTGCCGGTTCCGGCTCCGGCGCGCGTTGCATCTCGAAGGGAGCGAACTGGGCCTCGTTCGAGGGACGTGAGAAGCCGGGGAGAAGCCGGTGGAGGGGTGAGCGGTGCGTTGCCTGGGACTGACAGGACATATAGTAGGACAGGGTAAGGGAGAAGCCGGAGCTATCCACCATCATGTATTGTTTTGGGGGGAATGATGGGGAAAAAAGTAGGACGTACTTATCATGAGTTGAGTTGGTGGGAGGGAACCTTTGAGAGATGTTTGATATTTTTTGTATGTGTCCCCTGTTGGTGCATGAAACCTGTTGGGCCGCCCGGTGCTGGAATTGCACATGCTGTGAACATGTTGCTTCTACGAAGGAGAGTTTTTGTATGTTTTTGTTAGCCTGTCGATGACCTATGATCATTATCTCAAGCAATAATTAATGTTTGGAATGGCATCGTATGCACCTTCAAACAAAAATCAAAGCACTCCGCACTCCTTTTTGTATGTACATATGCCAGTCCCTTCGGTTTTGGTCAGGTCTACTTCGGTCGCGTCTCGCGTCGGCGCATCCCGGTGTTTCGGTGGAGACTGCCAAGGGCTCCGTCCACTGCAAGGCGCCGGAGCGCGTCACACGGCAGCGTCTTATCCCCCACAAGCCCCAGCTCTTGTTGGTCCACGTCTGGATGACCAACGACAAAGAACATCAAATGAACATGTACCGCATCTTCCAGTTCGGCCTGAAGTTCCGCCTATAGGATCCAAGCCTTACACTCAGAGCCTTTCTGGGTCAAGGAAAAGACATGAAACGACTGTCCGACTGTCCGCTTCCACCGCCCCTGTGCCCAGCACCCCAACTCCCTTCCCTCGCCTCCTCGTGAAGTAGCAGGTTTGCCAAGCCCTGTGAGCCGGCCGTAGAAGGATCCCGAATCCCGGGTCAGGTGCTGGCCACATGTTGCAGTTGATCATAACAAACCACTGCCTCAATATACTGTCTCAGACCCTCCAGGAAATCACCCCATTCACCCAAGGAGTTGGGGGTATGCCTCGTTCTTCCTGGAACCATGCGGGACGGATCCACGTGTTTCAGCCTGTGAAATGCTGAGACCGAAGTCAACAGCGCAGCATGCCACACACCGAAGTGGCAACACCCCCGTTTCGCATGCTCTTTCAGGTATCATATAGCACAGCTACAGCTACAATCGTCAAGTTTAAGAAGCTTGATGAAATTGATACAGAGGAGGCCGTCTACGGTATATACGTCTTGTAGGTGGGGCGGCATGCTATGCAGTGAAGCGGCCAGGCCTGGCAGCTTTCCTCCGAGTCTCCACCAAAAGGCAAAACGGCCAGTTGGACTGGCCAGGTCTGGCCAGTTGGATCTTGGCTGAGCTGCTACAGCAAGCTCAACTGCCCGTTTGGGCTCCAGTCGTACCTCCTCAGGTGAAGGTATGACTGGACCCTCTAAACCCTTCCCAAACACCTTCGAAGATCTTACTTGGAGCCCTAGGGCTGACAAAGTGTCCATCCAAAAATATGGCATTGTTCCCAAAAGCCCGCGGTTCGTCCGAATCAACAGATCTTCAAAAACCGCGGTTCGTTGGATGGCCATCGCCCGAAATCTCGCTGACTTCGTTGATCAAGAAAAACATGTGTCTCTGGAAATGTAAGTTTCTCTCAAGAAATGCGACTCAAGTCCCTTCATCTTACAAGGTGCTTTTGCCTTTGGGTGAAGACTGGAGGCAGTGCCCATCTGTCACATGGTCCTACAGAACTGCTAGCCATGCTAGTTCACCATGCTAGCGGACTTGGGTATACAAAACGACTCAAGGAAAACACATGAACACACACTCTGACATTGTTTTGCTGCTTACTCAATTCCCAAGATGAGAAGGAAGGTGAGGGAACGGCAAGGTGAAAAGGTCCGGTGACTTGAATTGTTAAGCATTGTTTCACTCGCTCTGCTGGCTAGCGGCTACACTGCACAAGCGGTTGAAAACTGCGGTGGAAAACCTGTTTGGGGGTAGGTAGCGTGAAGAACCATGGAATCAAAAAGCAAAAGTGGACAGCGTGATCAACATTTGCGTCGCAGGTACAGGAAACTGGCCAAGTTTCCCTTCCCACTCTTATCCACAGCTTCGTTGCGTGTGATAGGATAAGAGTGTCACACGCCCCTGCTTGTCTCGAAGGAAGGTCGCACCCTTTGGAACAGGGGTTGACACACACACGGTGCCGCTTGGCGGCGCTCGCGTGAGAAACCTGAATAGATACCTAAAAAGCCTTAGAAACAAAGAAAGAAAGACAGAAAGAGCAGCGCTAAGAGGGCAAGAGAGAAAGATAGGTGTAGAAAAATGAAAAAATGAATACTTAGCCCTTGACTGGGGTAGGGAAACGAGCCTCAAGAGCCACCTAAAAAGACTGAGAGAAAATCCAACAAACGACGAAAAGCGCAAGAAGGAAAAAGGGGGGCAGGGAGTGTATGTCCATGTGTGTGTCTGAATACCTAGCACTCTAGAATTACTGAATACTTAGACGAAGTGAATTAGGTGCACTAGTTAGGGAGCGGGACTTTTGTCTTACACCGCCCGGGTAGAGTAGACTAGAAAAGGGACAACAGAAGGAAAGGCACCGACACACAAGTGTGTCGAGTACCATTTCCCTATGTTACCCTAATTAGGTAGGGAGTAGAACACAGTGGGGGGGGGTCGGGAGACCTGCCTCAAGTGGGGGGAATGCCGTTTTTAAGCCCGGCGGCTGTCAAATTCGATTTTAAGCCCGACGGCTGTTGGATCAGTTAATTCAGTTATGAAAGAAGAGAAGGTGGAAACGGTTATCAAAAATGGAAACGATGATTTCCCGAATGGCTTCAGCGCCCCAGTGAAGGGGATCACACCCAGCACCCAAGTGGGACGACTGAGCGGCTCACACTCTGACATTGGTTTGCTGTTTACTCAATTCCCACGATGAGAAGGAAGGTGAGGGAACGGCAAGGTGAAAAGATCCGGTGACTTGAATTGTTAAGCATTGCTTCACTCGCTCTGCTGGCTAGCGGCTACACTGCACAAGCGGTTGAAAACTGCGGTGGAAAACCTGTTTGGGGGTAGGTAGCGTGAAGAACCATGGAATCAAAAAGCAAAAGTGGACAGCGTGATCAACAGTTGCGTCGCAGGTACAGGAAACTGGCCAAGTTTCCCTTCCCACTCTTATCCACAGCTTCGTTGCGTGTGATAGGATAAGAGTGTCACACGCCCCTCTCGAAGGAAGGTCGCACCCTTTGGAACAGGGGTTGACACACACACACACACATCATTAACGTCATCAAAACCCTCATGGCGACGATCCGCGATCAGATCCGGGTTGGTCGCCTCGATGCTACTGGCCGCCAGGTGTAGGGCCCCCAGCGCGGGGCCCAAGAAGACCCTGAGGCGAACGCCAGTCTTCTCGTCCCGGGGCGAGCCAGGGCGAGCCACGCCGGCGTCAGACACCAGGGAAACGGGGAAATGGAGACTGAAACGGATGTAAGCTTGAAAAAAAGAACGGTGAACGAGGTGATTGGTTCATAGGTGTGAAAAATATTGTGAGCAAGTTGCACAAAACAGGTAGATTAAGCAAAGGCAGTTAGTGTTGCGAAGGTCATCTGGCCAACTGATCAAGTCAGTAGTGATGTGTAATGAATTTCATGCATGCGCTGCATGGGATATACATATATATATGTGTAATGATTACATTGACAACGAAACCAACCAAATGTAGGTAAACGACCAAAACGCTCCATCTATGCGAATTGGTATACATTTGGTAGTTCTTGGTGGTGAATGTAGACCATGTGGAGCATCTGGGTATTGGTAAACATGCTTTACATGGACTTGGGGTGTCAAAGTACCTCGCAACATGGGTACAAGTACCTGTTTCTGTTTTTTTTTCAATTAGGGTTATGTCCACTTTTCCAAGGTAATTACCTTGGAGGGTCCAGGGAGTGTCGAGGTTAAACAAGTCAAGTTGCATGTTTTTCCAATTTCATGCATGTTACTGGATAAATCGATACTCCATGGTAGTAAAAGCAAAATCGGTAAGCAAGAGGTGTACCGCCCTTTCTCCAAGAAAATGAGGAATTCATCAATGCACTGGGAATAGAGGCAAATATATGTGAGGGCAAGGGTAGTCGTCCAAGTCATCAGTGCTTTTGTTGTTGAGACCTTTTGGTCAAGTTTTCTTCCAAAGACCACAAAACGATCAGGCTTCTCGGATTCTTGAGATGCTGCAGGTGAACCTGCAGTTCACAGCAAGTCCCCACCCGAAACGTCCTCAAGTCCTTCCCAGATCGATCCACCCACCGGAATGCTCAACTGCTCAGCTATGCTCAGCCCCTCCCCTGGAAACCCTGGGCACCTCAGGAGGCAAAGGCAAAAGACCGGAATGGCACGGCCGAGGCCCCAATCGTGGTAGGCGATCTGGCGTCTCTCGTCGTCCGATCGATGGTCCACCGATGTCCAAATGCACCAGGAGAATCTCCGTCAGACGTCGTGGCACGGTGTGCGATGCATTTTTCGTGGGTCCAGATACCTTCTGAGGAGCTACGACTGGAGCCCTAGGGTATAATATCTTTTCGGGGGTTGAACAAAAAAGCATCGATATGTTAGTGTTGAATATAGGTTGAACTAGGAATCGGGGCTGTCCATGTTCCGGCATGTCGCACTCAAGTCATCATTCAACCGAAGTGCAACCCTTTCTCCACATTAAACATACAGAAACCAATTTGTACACTATCCATTTGTCATGTGAATCCCACTGTTCCTCCTGGGGGAACATGTCTTTCCTCTCCACTCGAGTTGTGACGCGAATGCATCACACCATTTGCCCTTCGCGACGTCCGTGAAATTCGTCTTCGGAGATTCTGGGGTGATGCCGTGAGAGGGCAGTGCACAGCGTGGAATGCGCTCGGAATGCTCACCCAAAAGCCTTTCGATGCTTGGAAGACCCGAAGGGGCCTCAAGGCGCCACATGGGTCAGTCTGTTCTGGAGCCGATTCGATGCTCGACGCCTCGTCCCACCCTCTCCCCATCCGAAGGTCCTGGGTCTGCAGCACCAGCTGTCGCATGGGTGTTAGGAAGGTGTCCACGATCTGGCGCCGTGCACGCTGCATGCTTGGCGCGGCACGCGTGGTTGAGGGCCCCTCAGACTGGCGAGAAGGACAGCTGCACCGGACTCAACACAGCGAGTGGTACAGCGGCTGACCTACCTGGAAGGGACCTGCAATCAGAATCCAACTGCGCAAATGCCACCAATCCTCCATGGGGATCCGTCGATGAGAAGTCTTGTCGTCTCGATCGCCAGAGATCGAGACTATCGACGCTGCCACCGGGTCGCGTTTACGCGAGCGGTGGAGAAAGGCGACATGATCCCGGGATGTAAAACATGACTAATTGATGCATACCTATAGAAACTCATTAGCTCATTAGGCAAAAAAGTCCGCCCAACTTCAATTAGGCAGAAAATTCTGCCCAATTTCACACAGAACGTCTAAGCTGCAGCCTCGAGGGTCAAAAACGCCGAGGCACAATCACATGCATTCTTACATGCAGGAGGCTAAACCATAATCTGAATGAACAGAGTTTTTGAGAAGGCAACCTGACGCTAGTGCCCGGTCTAAAGTAAAGTGTTTGAAACTCATCTCACTTGCTCCACCCCCCAAACAGGCTACCAACCTTTCCTTTGTCCACCCAACTGCTGATTGTTGTGAGGGGGGGAACGGGTAAGAACGCCTAAGTAACGGGCAAGAACGCCTAAGTGACGGGAAGAATGCCTACCCAAAAAAATCAAAAAACACTAAAGCAATATTCACAAAGCATATAGAAACGCTAAACACATGCAGAAGTGAAACATCAAGTGATAAACAAGTGTCCTGTATCTCTCTTGTTCCTGGAGCCAGTGGTGGGTAGATCCTTATCTATGAGCATTGCAATTGCCACCGAAAGGATAAGAACGCCTAGCGGAGCCAAGAACGCCTACAGGGGGCAAGAACGCCTAAGCACGGACAAAGGCGCCTTTACCCATAATGGGCAGAAATGTCTGCCCAAGAAGAGGTTCTAGGTATACCACCCGCCCATTTGCATTAATTGAAAAAAGTATCTTTACTATGGGGCGTTAATAATCAAGAGCCTACATGGAAGCTACCATAATGGACTCCTTCTCCTGTCTAAGACTTCCCATGCTCTTCACCCCCTGCCCACGGTGGTCGGGGTCAGCTGGGTGTCCCAAGCAAGGCCAAAGAAGCCTTGCACGATGCCGTCCTGAGTTGCACGACGAGTAGCAAGAAATACTGTATTTTAAGAGGGGAACACCCAACCAACGGGTAAGGGATACCTTGAAGCTTTGCCTCTCCATGACCCTAGCGGCCCTAGCATACTATACAAGCAGAAACTTGTCCTTTGGTCCTCTAACATCTTGCAACCTTCTCCCAGCACCTCACCCCACGATTAAAAAAACAATCAGGTGCAAAAAGCATGGCCGCACTAGGCTTCGATAACACCATTCAGGCAGGGATTTCGAGCCGACCGATTTTACCTAACGCAGCTCGTACTATGCAAGTTCTATAACAGCCTACCAGCTGGAACAGAAACATGAGCCACCTTGTTCCACTGACCATCCCCTTCGCATTGACGATAACCCGCCAATGTACACCTCTCCCAATTGGTCGGAAGTCTCCTTCAAAACCGGACGCAACTTGAAAGACCACGCTTACAAATTCATGCGAACACCGGTGGGACTGGCTAACCTCCCCGATCCCTTCCCGAATTAGATGCTTTGCTCCAACACTTACCTCTTTCAATTTGACTTGAACAATTCCAAAGTTAAAGACACTTGAGGTCCACAATTCATAATTCGTGCAGCCACGTAGACACATCACAAATACTGCGATTGACATCTCCACTCACCAGTAGTAGAGGTCCAGTACCCCAAGTACCCGTGGTCTGACACGGTACTTAGGGGCTTTTTGGGGAAGCGTGCTTTCCAGACCGCCGTCCGCAAGTCGGGTTGGTCTGGATGGTCTATTTCCCGGTCTATGCCAGGGGGGTCGTTGCCTGGGAGGTCTTGGTGTTTTTTCATACACACCCAACAGGTGAACCTCACAGGTGAACCTCTGGTGTTTGATACCGATACCACACCAGAGGACACATCCTCATGCCAGCACCGACCCGTCCTCGAGATGCCAGGTTACGGTCACAACTCGTCTCCGAGGTCAAAGACTGGTCTTCGACTCCAGTTCAGGGTCACGAACTGAAGGTCCTTATATATTTAATGATGTCCACATATTTCCAGTAGAATATACTTAAATGTCAGCTCCATTTTTGGCGTCGATCCAAAGGTCGGCATGGACCTTGTGACATGGACCGACTTCACTTCACACCGCGCGATACGGTCTCGCACGACACACAGAGGGACGAGCGACTCGACTTGGGTGATCCAAGGAGCGGACCGACTGGGCGTTTCTGTTAAAGGAAATCACAAATGATCTTAAGCCATTCTGCTCAGAACACAGGGGGAGTCGTCTGGTCGTCTTTTTTATACATTAATTACGCTATACGTAGTACGATCGTTGAAATTTTTGGGATGTTTTGGGATTGTTGTTGGGACTGTTTGGCACACTTTCTGTCTAACATGCAGGTAACTGGTAAATGACGACCAGGTTCCTAATAATCAGCAGAACTTCCACCCATGCACGCCCAGTCGCCAGAAAGCTCTGTGCCCTAGGCCGCGGCACGCCCAGAATCACCTGACCACGCCGAGCAGTGGGCGTCGCGTGACACACGCGATGCCAGTCAGGCACCTTCTATTCCAAGCACGACCTGACTGTCTGGGGGCTGGCATCTTGTTTTTCCATTGTCCCTGAAGTCAACACCGCCTTTCTTGTGTAAAATGATTGCCAGTCCCATCAGGAGTGAGTATTGGATGAAGTAATGTTCATGCATAGATCCACGACTATCAAAGACTATCACCTGGTTTTGCACATGGGGCACGGGTCCCCCATGTGTCCCCCATTGGGTGCCCATGGTCGCATGGTCTCCCATAACATCTGGCTACAAAAATGGGTCTAGAAGGGTCAAGATGAACCTTGACCACATGATTCACTCCATGCGTGTCCACAAAAGGGGGGGGCCCGGCACCACCGGGGCCTGTCGAATGCTATTGAGGATCAAGACCACACCGAAGAGTGCATTTCCTGGCGCCGATGGGATGTGATGAGATAAGCCAGACTGGTGGTCACCACCTTCCAAAAGCTAGACAATTCGCAACAAAATTGTGTCTTTAAAACAAGCATATAAAGAAAACTCATAAAATAGTTTACTATTCAAAATCGAGTTGCTCAAAGTGCATCCACAGTAAAACTACTGGTGTTGCACGGGATAAATTAATATAAATATACGGGTTCTGGACATGAGAATCCGAGTGTGCCACAGCAAAACCATCTTTTTGGCGAACGCGACCATGGGTTCCGGCAAGGGTGTGGTTGTCCTGGAAGCAGTTTTACTATTTGGGCCATCCACCGAGGAGAACTGTGATGAACTGGGAGGTTTCTGGTGCTACATTTTAGGACTGTTGGCTGGAAGGATTTTGACCGGCTGGACTGATACTTACGTGCAAGCACCACTGCCGGCTACCACCCCTCCAATCTCGCATGCTAGTAGGTGCATGAACACCTTTGCACAGCAGAAGGCTCAGGCGCATATGTTACCAGTTGCATCGAGTTGCTGCCGGCTGTTGCTAACGCCACCGCCCCAAAAAACATCCCAACGCAACCGCCCGAACGGTATTGCTCACCAGGAGTATGTCCGACATCTCCCTCATCTCACCGAAAAGGATTCCGATTCCCAGCTGCTCCCACAGTCCCACCGAGTTGCTGAAGAACAGACATGATTCTCAGACCATGCATGGCACCGGAATATTTACATACGTATATGCATACATGCTTCAACACATCCCAATGGGATGGTAAACATTCCCTATAGGCCTCCATTCCCTGCTTGCTGACGAGGTCTTTGGGGGAAGACCTGCTTGCTGTCCAGGCGGGCTCCCCCTCGCCTACCAGCTCCGCGAAGGCTCGGTAGGTGCCCTCCGAGAGGCCCTGGACGAACGGGTCCACCTCGGCCCGGTGGGCAGAAGGGCCCCAGGCCGCCCCCCACCAATTGGCTGAGGGCGGGGTCGGACGGGGACGGGTTGGGGGTTATGGGAGTTTTCGGTGAAGAAGTTCATGGTAGAGCAGAACCCATCGATGTCTGAGTGATGGAGCTCGTGCTTGGCAGTGCTTGGTGGCCAGTCCGGTCGCGTGGCACCTGCCGCGCTTGGTCCGAATGGAAACACACACCGTGGCACTTGCGCTGTCCGTTTGCCCTGCACCGAGCGGTTTCCGGTCGGCCGATCGGCCAGTCTTCGTCGGAGCATTTTAAGGCGATAGACGGCCAGTCCCAGACAGGTCGTGTGATATTGTTAAAACTAATAAAAACCCATAAAACCCATTAAAGCCAAAAACAATTGTCAAAGAGATGGTCAACGCATACTTTCCATATCAATCAGTATTATGATATTATTAGCTTTGCATAGCTTTGCTAGCTTTGCCTGCTTCCTGCAAAGACCGCCGGCACATCCAACCATGTGTGAAACATGGCCTCTGTCTTCTATGGATTTTTTGAGAAGTATCGAACTTGGAACCAAAACCACTTGTGTTTCGCCATGTTCCACTAGTCCCCACCAAACCCATGCCCCTTTAAAAGCTGCCTGTGCTCGACCGAACCGAACCGTTTCGATCAAACAACATAGACCCAAAGCGCCCCGGAGCGCTTTGCTTCGCGGCCCAGTCACCCAAAAAAACCAGTCGCGTTCTCCTTCGCTTTGGTTCGCGGCGTCCAATGCCTCAGCAACCAGTCACCCATGCAGTTCTCAAGTGATGGGATGGGGTGCCCAAAACCCCCGATGGTGCAGAAAAGGGACATTATTTGACATTACATGTTTTTTTCCTGTGATGTTGAGACATCGCTATAGTGTAGGTATATATATATATATGATTTCCTGCTGCAACACATGCAAACACAAAAATGATTGGTTTTTGACTCATTGAGCAAATCTGATGTCCAACCCTTGGAGCCTTTCAATCTCCCGCAGAACGCGATGCTTGGGCGCTGGTATCAACTGGAGCAGAACGCTTGACGCAAGGGTTGGCGGTAGGTGTGGGCGGTGGATTTCTAGTCGTCACCAGTAGTGTCAGTAGTGTTGCCCTTGCTTGCACCAGGGGTACCACCTTTGCAAGTTGATGAAGGACAACTTGAACAAATTGTGCAAGGATCCCTCAATATGCTGCTCAGCGGTGGTGCCAAGCAGCCGAAAAGAGCACACCCTGCGCTCTTCAAGAGCAAGCAGAGCAAGCAAGCAGAGCATACCGTGAACACACCGAGTGAACACACCGAGTACCATCTCGACACCGCGGAACGGCCACGTTTGGATCCAATTTCACGGACCAGTGGGTCAACGCACCAGTTGAACTGGTTCTTTATAGTAGCGCACCAGCTTAACTGGTGCTTTGGCAAAATGGGAGCTGGAAGCTTGAAAAGGCCGTGAAAAACCCATGAATTGCAAAGTCTACCTATCAATTGTTCTCTTGGGAGCATCTCCTGTCTTAGAACCCACTTGAAGTCGCTTGTCCCACGAATCACACGCCGCTCCTTCGTCGAAGGTTTGAAAGGATTCCCCCGTAAAGCTAAAAACTAACAGAACTCGCGTTGCCTGAGGCAACCACTCGTGACAAGAAGCAAAGAAAAAGCAAGCAAGCAAGCAAGCAAGGAAGGAAGCAAAGAAGCAAACAAGCAAGGAAGCACGAAGGCAAGAAGCAAGCCAGGAAGCCAGGAAGCCAGGAAGCAAGCAAGCAAGCAAGCAAGCAAGCAAGCAAGCAAGCAAGCATGGAAACAAGCAAGTGTAGATGGCCCTATGGCCGCCTGTTATGTGCAAAGAAGCGAAACACACAAACATCCACGACTCCATTGTACAGCTAATGCCAGTCCGGAAAGCACCAGCGATGAACGCAAAAGACGAGTGAGAGGCTGCTTCCCCGCCCGATCAGCGACAATCGACCAGACGACATTCCCGCGTGCGCGTGCGCAAGGAAGCAAGGCACATCATAAGGCCCACGTGCCAGCCACCACAAAGCGTTCATGCTACCCTGCCGAGGCGAGTGATCAGTCGTAAATGCGACAGTGCAACGCAGATATACTATCTCCAGATTAGCAAGACATGTTCAGGCTACCACATACACCAAGACATCAATCCACCCTTTTCAGCTTCCTTGATCTTCCTCAAGTGCAACTAGTTCTATCTATTTCTGTTTCCGTACCAGTGATGGGAACTCAAAAGGGGCACTCCACCCCCAAACTCACGCTTTGCGGCCATCCCGGGTCTGAGATGTGTGCTGCGAGCAAATCGGCCACCCTCAAATCATCAAGGAAGCAAATGGCAATGGGTTGTGGCAAACCATTACTGATGCATTCCTTCACTGAAGACACAAGGCAATGTTGGCAAACTCAACAGCTGTTGAAACTGGTGATTATCTGCCGGTTGCTCAAAACTTGGCCTGGCGCAGCACGCGCTTCGGCAAGAGAGGTACCATATGTATTGGTTTTGACATCGTTACCATAAATCCCCCAGCAAAACTTGCTATAGTTGGTGTCCCCAAAGCATCCTCCCTTGCTGACACCTTCAGGATGGATGCCATGTACGAGAGAATCACCGACAAGAGCGCGGAGTTTCTGGCCTGGCACATGCCGAACATTCATGGCCGATCGGATATCAGTCCAGGAACCTTCCTGTGCGATGCTTAATTTCATGATATTTCATGCAGCCATGTTCTGTTGAAAGAGCTACCAGTTTACGATGCGGCCTCTATGACTTAGACGCTATGACATGTAAAAAGAGCTGATGCAACAACGTCAAAACTGGCTGCAAGACAGGGGTCTGGAAATCACCGGACGAAATCAATCGAGCAATGGAGACATCTGTGTCCAACTTTGTTGGAAAGTCTCTTAGGACAACAGGGAATATCGGCAGTACTACAAACAGGTGAATGAGGGCGCTACCTGACAGATTTTAGATTCGCCAAAGATCAATATACATCAATATACCCCTTCTGAGCCAACTAGTGGAGGATTTCTGACCAATCAGTACTACTGGTAATATAGAAGCTGCCAGGTTGGACAATCATACTAGTTTTGTCTATTGACGTGGGTCAAAAATGGGTTCCCTGGGTTGACCAGCAAAAATGAACATACCCTAGAGATAGAAGGTACGACTGGGTCCTGGCAGGTACTTGGGCCCTCCTGGCGCCTATAAACAGTCTTCGTTCTCACCGTACCTGAGGTTCGGTACGACTGGATCCCTAGAGATGGACCATTAAGGAGATCCGATGCCCCAGGCAGCTAGTCCCTCCCTGACTCCATGCTCCAAACACCCCGGCGCGAGTCCCAAAAGAACCGCCTTCCTCTTGTACCTGGCGCGTTCAGGCGTGGATGTACAAACAACGAACACTCTCTCAAAGGAAGCAACATCCACGTCTTCCAGGTGTGGATGTTGCTTTGGACATCTGTCATGCGAAAACCCAACTCTCTGGTGCTTTTTTCTATGTGTTTCAAAGCTGAGCTTCTCATGGCAGGCTTGGCTCTTGAGGCGATTGTTCCAGGAGGCTTGAGGGGTCCAGCTGAGTTCGTGTGAGGTCCACGACATGGAGGTCGTTTGAGGTGCCATGTGAGATAGCGTGTCAATGTCGCACCTGATCACTGGAAAACTTACACTTCATAGTTCAGTTCTAAAGTTATATATGCTGTCCACACACCCGTATGCGCCAAAGTGCCCGAAATCAAACACTGAGAATGATCCTCAGGCTCGGCAGCACGACCAAAAAAGAAAGACCTCATGCGTATGACCGAAAAGGGACCCCCCCTTGTTCCGACTTTCTTGTTTCAGCTCAAAGTCCCCCCCGTTCATCGCGGTCGGCGCACAGGCTGCCAAGGGTGCCCAAGATCTGTTGGATCGAGCCGAACTGATTGTTCAGGACAGTCCTTGGATCCGGCAGGAGGGCGCCAGCGCGCGCCCTTCCGGGAGAGGTTGGGAAGGTTCCCGGTGCAGCGGTCTTCGGTGCAGCTGCCCGGGCTGTCGGGAAGTCCAGTCAGGTGTTCAAAGTGGCCAATGGGGTGTATTCTGGAGGGGCACCAACGGGGCGTGACCACGCATATATAGATTGAAAACGAGGTGTGGTGATCCAGCAGGTGTACAGGGATTCAACGACATAAGGGTTCTCGAAAGACCTCAACCTGCTTTTTAGAGAGTTTGCACTACATATGAGACATACTATGAGACATCTGATCTAATGTTGTCATTCACCATGCAGTCGGTGAAACCAGGTTCAGATTTGTAAAAGCATGTCACACAAATCTGAATTCTTTAATATGTTGCTCTTTATTTTTTGGAGGGCTGCTCACAAGCATGCTTCACCCACCACAGAGGCATCGGCACGATCAAACGCCTTGGCCCCGGCACGGACTCCCCAGTCTTCTTTGACGCACGGCCACCGGCCACCCACCTTGCACACCCTCCCAGGCGGTCTTCCCCCTCACCGGTTTCCACACCAACACGGCGGTGGAGTCTGGGGAAAGTACGAATTCACTAGCTTCAGCCCCCGAGAAGTACGTGGCTGTTTGCCTTTAGGGCCCAACCCACCCCGTCCTTACCGGAGAGCTTCCCGGTCCGGCGCTGGGGGGCCGGGCTGATCCACCTTGAGATCCATGTTGGGCATATCCACCGGCCTCGGTTTTCGCGTGGTGTCAAGCCGCGGTGACCGTTGCGTGGGACCGGGGGACCGTGGTGAAATGAAGCCCCAGGAGTTGATCCGAACATTCAGGTGGGGTCCTAGAAGAGAGGGTCCTGGAATACGGCCTATAGAGAGGGCCTAGTAGTGAGGAAGCCTTGCGTGCGGCGTGGGGGGAGGATTGGAAAATATAACTTACTTTCTGCTTGCAGTCAAAGAAAGTCTAAGAAGGCTCAGTCATCGGTAGAAAACACACGGGTCATCCATGTGAATCCCTAAAATAGGTGGCCTTCTTTGACCCGTGGTGCAAGGTGAGCGCCCACAAGGGGCATACCTTCACGCAACTCTCCAAGCACAAACAGGGAGTACTTATTAATTAATTATCAATTATAATGATAACAGGGGAAACCTACATGGGGAAACCTACATGGAAACCTACATGGGTATTGGCACTCCCTTTTTGTGTTATCTTAAGTTGTGGAAATGTCCAAAAGCCTAACCACGGACCATTCACGGTGGGATAACTGATAACCAGGCGGTGACGAAGCAGTAGCAACTGCAATGCGAAGCAAAGGAGGAACTGAACCAAAACCGTCCTTGAGGGTGGGAGAGGGGTGAGTACAACTACACCCCCGAGCCCAAGCCACAAGAGGTGAGCACGGGGGTACCAATAACAGAAAAAATGCCGAGATGAGCGGGGGGGGGAGAAGGGAGAAGAGATAAAGCCACATGGAACCGAAGAAAACAAGGCAGAAGGGAACAAAAGCTGAACATTCGCGCTCAGCTCATCCTTGGTATCTCAAAAAAAAATTGGGATCTGGGAAAGGAGCATCTTGATGTTTGTCTGGTTGATTGATCTCACTACAGCAGAGCAGTTTGAGGTAGCCTGCATCCACAAAGGCTGAAGCAGGTCTCTGGTACAAGTATAGTCTGAATCTACGATCTCTTTCTCTTCTCCCAAGTCACTCCCAAGCTGCTCTAAAACCCATCGCCTCTTTCAAGTCCGGAACCTTAGCCTTAGATTTTGGACATGGCCAATCTCCTCCTCATCCCACCTCAGCGCAAGCCGCCCTCCTCCCCACTACTCAGCTCAGCCGCAGGAAGCGGATCCGCCGCGCCATGGTGTTGTCGCGCGCGGCGGCCATATCAGGGGAGCGGACCATGATCGTCAGCCGCAAAGGCTCCACGACCTCGGCGGGCGACCGGAGAGGTCCGGCGGTCCGGCGGTCCAGCTGCTGAACCGGGTGAACGTGGCGGTGGTTCCGGTGGAAGGGTGGTTTGGTTGGAAGAATGTTTGGGTCTATCCTATTAACAGTGGATGATGATGGTTTTGGAATCAGTAAGACAGTGATTTGCTTGTTTACAGGTCCTGTTACAGGTATATACAGGTATATAAGTTCGGACAAACCCGGCGGGTGAAGTGAATGTCTCACACATGAAAGTGACACAATCGGCGGGTTATGGCTCGATCAGCTTCAGATCCAAAGCTTCGGAACTCAATCTCAACTTCCGGTCGAACAATCGGACGTTTTTCTTTTTTCTGGGGGGGTCTTGAGTCTTGTGTTTCTGTTTCTCCATGTAGACTGCTTGACAAACATGTTTTGTGTGTGGCAATTGATGAAAATCCCCGGTCTTGGTTAGGGTTTGGTGCTCAGGGTTTAGGTATGTTTAGGTGTTTTACCAAGCAGAAATGGTCCATGCCTTCACAAGTCATCCCTCTGAAATTGCACCCTGTGGGATGATCTTTTCCGCGCGGAGTGTTTAGCTCCTTGAGTGCTGGACAACAGTTCATGGTCATGATGAGTATCTTCACAACAACAAACGCATCTGAAGTGTGGAACTTTTTCGTGGTTTTCAATGGTCGCTGGTCTGCTCGGCCCGCATTTGCCGGGTTTTCCACCATGCAGGTCGAAAGCCACCAGGCCCATGCTGGGAGCTCAAGCTAAGGTCTCCATTCGCCAAACCTCAGGGAATCAAAACCGATGAGGTCGTGGCACCGCACCGTGGTTTCTCTGGTTTCGAAAGGTTTCTCAAGAACCGGTCGGTCACCGGAGAGGGACATCTACGTTTTTGTTGTAACCACATCCAACAACTTAACCCTTGTGTTTGTGTCTTAAATGGCTGTTATCCTTGTTGAAACATGCAAGTGGAACAAACACTCGGAACAAACCCGATCAATTGGAGATGAAATTTATGGGAATTGTGCCAACCAACTTCACTTTGAGCAACAACTGCCCTGCAACTAGTACATCGTGGAAAGGTGTTCAACTGCGCATTTCGAGGAGAACTGTCAACTGTCTACTGGCTCCAAACTTTTGCTGGCCGCCCCACCGCTTCCTATGACCAGTGGCTACAATCACCCACCTCAACCACCTCAAGAATGTTTCAAAGCTTAAGGGTCTTAGTAACTCAAAACAAATTGCAAGTTCGTGCAAATTCACAGGACCAAGCACATGTAGAATATGTTTGGTCGAAGTGGTGAGAAAACATCCATTCACTCGCTGGCGACACAGCCAACAGCGAACCAAATGAGTGCCCTTCAGCCGCTGCCAGTCACCTCATGTTGCCCCCTTTTTTCTGCACGCCCAAAGCCTATCGCAGCCAAATCCAATCCCAGACACTCCATGTATGCCATATATGCCTACATTGACCCCCAAAACCACCCCAATGTAGGCATATATGGCATACATGGAGTGTCTGGGAATTGTTGAAACAATTGAGTTATGCGCTGCGCATCGATCGGTGGCTTGGCCTCCATATGCTTGGCATCGGCCAAGGAGAGCGGCTGCTGCGGTGGCTCCAGCTCCACCCGGGCGCCTCCGAGCGACGGCGGCGTTTTGGAGCCCCACGGCGTTGAAGACATGCGGTGGAGGCTGAAGACCAAAAGCAAACGGTTTTTTACGCGTGAAGACCTCTCGATGTTTGGTACGGTTGCTACGTCACTTGTGATTTCCTGAGATATCATGATTCCAACACATCTGTGTGGACTTAGTCAATGGAGTGTTGTCGCCACTCTTTTTCTCACCCCCCAAACTAGCTGAATCTACTACTGTGAGCAGCTGGCCGGTCTGCCGGGTTGGTCCACTTCCGAGAGTGGTCCATTCGCGCGTCACACCTGAAGGACCATGGTGGAGACTGTCCATGGGACTGGCAGATTCATTCACGCCAGGTCAACCATCCCTTTTTGTAAAATTATGTGTATATATATAGCATATATGTGTTCAAATACTAGCTATAGTAGTGATTAGAACATGCTCTGACCCGAGTCTATAATTTTCCTGAAGTTTTGGTGGGCCAAATGTAGGTCGAAGTGGACAACATCCGTGTCATATTATCAAGCTAGGGCATCCCATACGGGGAAAAGAGTGGACAACAAAACAGTCAGCTGACAGCAAAGGGTTGGTATACTACTATTCAAATAGTCGGGGGTTACTATGCAATGGAAGTCAATTCACTCACTGAATCCTGTATATTCAATATAGGCATAGGTACAGAAACGGACCAAGCGTCCAACATTCCAACATTTCTTGTGTCAAATAAGAATCACAAGCGTTGCAAAAGCGCATACACAAACATGCACATATACACATATCATCGATCATCCAAACTCCAACAAAATTATCAAAACAACGGTGCCATTGTTTTCCAACAAAAAAAATAACCTTGGACAGAATAGTGTTGATCCTGGCTCCTTACACCTTGATGTAACTTACATTCTGTGACATTCCAGTCACACCATGTTTCCAGGATGCTACCCACCTCTGACTTTAGATCTACATCGACCTCGCCCGGCCGCGGCGTGTTCGTCGTACACTCGCGCCTTCGCCTGGCGATGCCTCGTTGAACCCCATCGACTCCGCTAAGTCCAGCAACCTGCGGGCATAGCATGCGCACGTGCAGGGAGAGCATGAGGCGGGTTCGAACCGGTCCATCGGTTCATCATTGAATCATGAGCCTAATAGCTTGCTCCATGGTTATTTTGGTGGTGAATGTCTATGTGACAGAATGATGATGATGATGATGATGATGATGACGATGATGATGATGATGATGATGATAGTCAAATGCTACTCATCTACATGGAGCATTTGGGATCAAAGGAAACCAGCATAAACCAGGTGTCCAGAAAAGCTTTCTCGGATGTCCTCATCATTCCTTGGAACACCCACGGTCTGTCACCAGCGATCACGGTCCAGCGGTCCCGGATGAACGAACAACTGGCAGATGAGTGGTCCGGGTTCCTTTGTGTATTGTGACAGCAAACTGTTTGTCACCACGGTGCACCAAATCACCACATGCAGTTGCTGCTTCAGCAGTCCTTCAATTCCAAGCAAACCGACCTCGCTCGACCTCTGGCATGGCCCAAACCATACAAGAGGACTTCTGTCGTGGATAGATCAAGCAGCAATGGAGAGAACACCAGAAAACCATGGGAACTGCACGGACCGTGTGCCGCCGTTCAGTGCCGTTTCAGTGCTTCGTTCGAGGGGGAAACAAAAACTGCCGCTCCACCGATGATGGGAGCATCCACTTCGTTCAAGAGAAATTGAGATAGCTGCACATCCTCCATCACCATCGAAGAAAACCATTTGTCTTTCTCTTTGCCCCTCGTCCGAGGCAATCAAAACTCCCAACAATATCAAGTCCCATGTCATTCCTCTGTCACTTCAAAGACTGCCCTGCTCCCCACCAGCTGGGTTGGCCTGATGAGGACTCCCAACTCCAGATTCAGCCAGTACCTCTGCATGTTCCATGCATTGATTTCCGCGTTTCGCCGTCACCGCCAGTGGAATTGGGATGCCGATCTCTCCCAATCCAGGCATCCCAATGCCGAATCCCAGAGGATCCCTAGGCACGTCCACAGCCCCAGCAAATCACGTTGTACAAGATTGATTCACGCCAGGATCCGCCAAGCTCTCCTGTGGAAACATTTGGGGACTACAAAATACCCTTGCAAGAAAACCTGGCAGGTTTGTTTTCACCCCCTGCCCCTCGTTGTTGACCTGGGTTCTGCCAGGATCCACGTTCGCTCGCACCGCCAGAACTCAGATCCCATGAAACCACGAAACCACCGGACAGGCGGCGGATGATCCACGTGATGAACGGCCGGGTCCTGAAATGGAGGATGGAACGGGTTTTGGGCGGATGGACGAAAGTTAGAAATTCAGAACAATTGGCATTGGCATGGTATCCCCGCAAACGACCCCAAACATGCATGAATATATAGAAATCCTTGTTTCTGGTCCACGAATTCCACTCCTGGCGTCCATACCGGTCTATGCAATGGAGCCAATCTCATCAGTTCCACTCCAATATAAGGAGACCATCGATTATATTCAATCCCAAAATCCCAGACCATCCATGGGACCGGCGTGCCATTCTGTTTCGCCCCATCCGATCACCTCACAACCATGTGCTGCTTCGATTGTCGCGCCAATACATGCTTCCACACGTGCGCGTAGACACGGTCGCTACGGTCGGCGCACGGGACGAGGCTCACCGAGAGCTTCTTGATGATGTGACTTCCGGTGATCTCGGCCGCGAAGCACCGCGACGCCCGTGGGATGATGATGCGGTGTTGGAGGCTCGGGAGCACGGCAATAAACGTTCGGAAGCGTGGCTCTTGAAAGCCCAACATCTATTGGAATGTGCTCAGCGTATACGTAGTTTCTGTGGAGTCAGGATTGGTCAATTGCACAAGTCATGCGGTGGAGTCTAGAGTCTTTTCGCACCAAAGGAATTCCGAACGAAAATGGACAGGACACACCATTTTGGAATATCAATTGAACAAGCTATGTCCTTCTCACCTCCTTTCGTTTCCTCCTTTCGCTTCCTCAACCGCGAGTCAGAAGATACGCCAGATAGAACGCCAGATAGAAAGTCAAAAGATATGCAAGAAATAATGTCAGAAGATATGCCAGAAAGAATACCAACACAATGTTTCAATACATGCCAGAAAAAATGTCAGATTGAAATGGCATGGGGGGATCACTCGAAGTGAAATTGTTCTTTTTTTAAATGTTTGTTGGTGTTGTTTTCTTGAGGTTTTGGCCTGATCCTGAATACTCTAGAATAATCCTGAACACTAGCAGGCATTCTACTTCAATGACTCCGGCACTTAGTTCCGCCTTGTCCCCAAATTGACAGAAATGGGCATGGTTAATTCTCATCCCCAAAGAGAATTGATCCCTAGTGATCTCACAGCAAAAGGCTTCTGGCACCCCGCATCGCGACTCGAACCGTTCGCGATCGGACAGTCACCAACGGGGCTCCTGGGCACTAGAGCAACCGAACGGGGCTCCTACTATTAATCGGTTGGAGGCGATCGTTCTTCGGAGGTCGTCGCTCCTGACGGCCCCGGGGTCCCGGGCCCATCGGGCAGTCAGCTGGACGGCCTCCCCACGAACGGACGCGGCCAGTCGCCCGTCGCGAACGGACGGGCCGGGAAGGGGATCCAAGGGGCTGGAAGTGTCGAATTCCCAGGGGGTGTGAAGCTGGAAGTTAAATACAGCATACTGTGCTTCTGTTTGTCTAAAAGGATCCTGGAGCTGAAGATGAAGACGACTGATTGAAAGGCTGAAGAAGCAGAGTGGTGAATTCGGCTGATTCGTGCCGCTTTCTCCACGATTTGCATGTTTGAGACAGCAAGGTTGCAACCAGTTCTAATTACACAAGGTTGCGAGGAGCAGAGGAGCGGCTGAGTGGCTGTCGTGTACAACACGACCGCGTTCAGTGCTCATAAATTCATCGACCTCAGGGATTCTGGCCTGTTCCCTCATGGAAATGTGTTCTGTTCCCTCATGTTCTCAACAGATGCGACGGTTTGAAGCTCGTGTCAGTCCATGGTCTGCCCACCGGGTACTGACCGCACGACCGCACCGATCACTGCACCGATCACGAGACAATGGCCACAGGCGCTGTAAACAGGTCACGGTCACGGTCATGTTCAATCACCCGGGGTTTGAAGATGGGAAAAAGAATATGGTTGTTGCATCCGCAAAAAACCCATTGGAGTTCTGATGTGTAACTGTTTGACCTATCCCTGCAGCCCATCGAGCAGCGGTTTCCTTGCCGTGTCCGAAAGCTGCCCACTTTAAAGATGCCTGGCGCCCCTCTGACTCCACTTCTACTTCTATAACAGTGATCCTTTCGGACGTTCCATCTGAAGGTCAACGTAACAACTAGATTACATCCGACACGCAGGTTCCCAATTCCAAACCCCAATTCGACACCCATGTCACGGAATTTTTTGCTTGCGTTGACTCCCCTGCCACCACCCCTGGCCTTTTCTCGGCCTCGGCAAGAGGTATGCAAATTATGAGAGTCCCAAACCGGTCAGCTGTATGGGTCAGCTGTAAAGGAAACAAATCATTGTATACCAGTTGCTTCCGTTCGGGGTCACCAATGGATATCTCCACACTACTTACAGGTCTCCAGACAGGGCACCCCGACAGGAAGCGCTAGGTAGGTCAGCTGTGGTGAGGTCTATACTGTCTTCCCCCTCGCCCCACACCCGGGGGCGACACCGGACATCGGCCTTCTCTCGAAGCCACCGGCTGTTGATGTGCAGGAACCGGCGGTTCCTCGGTCGAACTCACACAGACCACACCAAAGCACCACATGGAAAGCCCAGGACTGAACCACGGCAGGTGGGTGGGGTTTTGAGAGTCCAGGCCCCTGCGAACCGGCGGCTTCCTCCAGTTTCGTCTCTGGTTTGATCAAGAGTTATCATGTTGAGGATGGGCTTCGACAAAGGTGGTGACGATCCAAAGTGAACAGGTACGGCATACACGAGTACAAACATCAATGTTCTGATTGGGAGACGCTTTAAACATCATTAAACAAATTCTGTTTGTTCTCTTCACCCGTTGATTTGCGGGGAAACCTGCAAGCCAACGTACAAGCACAGATTAGTTTGTATGAATTCTCACCTGGAAGTTCACCAATATTAAACAAATCCCTACAGGTCAGTTGGAATGCTCCTGGAGGTTGGAATGCTCCAAAATCCGACTCATTACGGAGCCATACTGGAACATATTGGGACCATGGACCCATCCGTGGGGTGTACTTGTCATCTCCATTATTCGGTGGCCCACACCCACTGGGATCCACCTTCTCAGGTGGCTTGGAAACAGCTGTTCTTGCTACCTGTGGGTCCGGACGGTTCCCCTCACCCTGGCGCTCTGACAGGATTGGCAGCGCACGGAGCCACGGGAGGTCGACCCAGCCACGGGCGCCCTGACAGGACCACGGGGAGTTCGCCCCCGTCGATGAAATGATCGACCTCAGGGCGAAGGAAACGCCTCAGGGCTCTGAGTCTACTTGGCATGTTCCACGGTCGCCGGTGGGTCAACTGGACGACATCGGGGGCGAGTCGAGTCTATTGCATATGTTTCGGTGAATGTAGGGAATGTCTTGGAGAGATGTTCTGTTTTCTGCAATACATCTTGGATGGTTGCTAGGACATTGAACCGCTTGTCTTTGGTTCTGACTCCAGGCTACGTGTTACAATATGCTCCTTGCGATAAGTTTTTTCGAGGCTTCAAGTTGCAGGAATTCAGTGGCTTGGTTTAGTCGGGGAGCGACCGACCGATGATACCCCATGGTTCTTGAAGCGACAAATAGGATTCTTCCAATTCTGTATTGTAAGGCTGGAAGGAAATTCGGAAAGGAAACCAAAAAACACGACAAAACACTGCACCCAACTTTGCTGTCCAAAATCCTGACAAACTATTATTGCATGTCAGCCGATTTTGATCGATTTTGCTTTATAGATGTTTCAACTCTATGTCTCCCCTCAATCGTTCCAACCCAACCAACCACACCAACCGACCAACCAAACCGAGGATCGATTCATCCCAATCTCTCCTTCACTCCGACGCCAATGCCTGCAAGTGCTGCATGCCAATATCAAAGTTCCCCTCGTTGGCATGCTGTCCCATCTGCCAGGCGCTGCGTGCCGCGTAACGGGGAAGTGACGCTGCATTCTACGTCGAACGTAACAGGGAAGTGACCCTGGCACAATGCTTCGGTATTTCGTTTGGACCGACCTGCGTGGTCTTGTAAAGGCTGAATGAAGGGACAGTAGGGAAAATGGGGGTGACTTATTATAATTACCCAGCCCATCCATGGATGGAGTCCATTTCCCTCATGAACATGACCCGTCCATCAGTCGGTCATTGCAGTTGCATGGATGGTCATACCGTATGACCAGTTCCAGGACCACGAACTCCTGGGTCACTCGGTGTGGTCTCAGCAAGGCTGACGAAAAAAAACACCCTTTAAGTAACCAACAATATATATATTTTAAGAGGTGGGTACACCCACCAAATATAGAACGAACATGCGAGCTATGCTGGTACTTGCAGCTGTGGCACTTTTCCGAGGTACTTATATTGATCATTCAGCTTCCTTCCAGTCCAGAATCATGCCCCAGTCCTAATCGTTGTGCGTGTGAGCATCCTTATAAGGTTGAACAGTGCTGCCAAAGTTTAAGGTGGGTGGTCAAGTGTTTAACATTATGTATCAAACATTTGCACAACCATGTCATGTGTGCTTTGGGTGAGATCTCTGAACACATAATTATATGTACTGGACCACTTGAATATCCTGCTTCTGTGTATGGCAAACATGACTTCACTAAACATCATACTGTTATTGATATTTGGATGGCAACTGAAAAAATATAACACAGGCTATAACCATTAACTAAACCTATGTTAAAACAAGAACTAAAACAAAAAAAGTAAAGAAAACTAACACTGCTTCTACTCCCCCAAAAGAACGATGCAATCCCACCTGATCCTCCTTCCACCGGACCACCCACCGGTCCTCCGTACGAATGCCCTTCAAGCGCAAAGCCAAGACCTGCGACCGGATCACGTCCGGGACCCCCCCCCGAGTAAGCCCCAAGGGTTGATTCAGTTGATGTTTAACCGAGGCACTTGCTCATTTGTATGTGTTTTCATTATATATCCATAGTACAAAAAGGAAAGAAACACCCTGAAATCATCGCATGGCCTCAAAGGGACGATCGCTTTCACCTACAAACAGGTGGTGAACTTCACTCCATTTCACCTACATGAGTTCAGAGTGTATGTTTTAAATTCGGATGTTCAGCACATCATACATGGCACTGGGCGCTGGGCTTGCTGCTCCAGTTTCACAACCAACAAATGGCTGTTGTTTCGCATTTTTTCGCTACAGCATCTACGTAAGTTTGAAGCCCAAACAAATCCTACAGGGCTCAGACTGGCCAGGAAATTCGAAGGTCCATGCAGTTTCACAAACCTCTCAGTCACAAACAGGATGAGAGTTCCGCTCTCTGTAAAGCAATTGGATGAGACAATGACGACTCCCTTGGTACTGTCAGCTTCATGGTTCACACCACTCCAGAAGTTTAACATTGATATATTAATCAATACTAAATACTTTTAGAAGGACACATTTCAATGTTGTTCGACCTGTTCCACCTTTCATAGACATGACCCAATATTGGAACACCCCAGATGAACTGCCCCCAGAGACCCAGGCGATGAAAAGTCAAAACTAAACCCAACAACCTGCTAGGGCCTATAGTGCTTCCCGGATTGTGTGTGTATGTTACACATGGTCACATGGTACTGAGGGTGTTCATTCTATTTTTAGGTCAACATTTATCAGGTACGTCGTCCCCTCACATGGCGAAACTGTGCAAAACATGTTCCCAATCCAGAGCTATTTTAAATCCAAAGATATTTGAACACAATGTGCACTTTTGGATTTGAATGTCTCTCTCTTCAGTTCAATCCAAAGCATAGTGACCCCCCAAAGGGTCACACGGCTGTCGCCTTTCGGGTCTCCCCCAGTCCGTCCGTCATTCTGCGCTGCGTCCGGACCGGGCCCCGTCCTCCTTATGACGATGGATCCAACTCACCGAAAGGATGGGCACGTTGACCGTCACGTTCCAGCCTGTCCACGAGTATGGCGTGGGTGGGTGAAGGAAAACGGTGGCACAAAGAAAGGAAGGTTAGGATATAAAAACTCAGAAGTTCCATAAAGAAACTCAGATGTTCCAATATGCGTTCCTTAGCATAAATAAGAAACGCACATGTGTAGGCAAACACAGCCTTCCAGCTGGTATTGTTTTCATCAATCAATTATGCAGATTACTTTCCGGGTTACCAAAGTATCAAAGGACAGTTTTTATTGTTCGTTCAGGTTTGTTTGCTTGTTAACAAAAAAGGAGCTGAGCAGGCTGGAGAACTCTTAGATGAAGAATCTGGCACCTCAAACAAAAGCAACATACCAAATGACTTCCAACCGACCTGGAGAAAAAGAAAAGGCCTAGAGACGCAAGGGCAATGCAATCAAGCGACTCAATTTGACCATCGTAACACTTCCTTCAGTCAAATCATCGATTCCTCGGGCCCCCGAGCTGGATTTCTCCTTCTGCGCCTGCCAAACACCCGAGCTGGGCTTGTTCCGTCGACATCGACCGTGAACTCGAGACCTGCGGAGGTTTTTGATAGAGATGATCTATAGGAAATGCATGGGAAGGAGGAGGGGGCTGCGGATAGCTGCTCGCGACTGGGAGAGAAACGCCTCGCACATGAGCGGAGTTCACCGGATTGCCCGGCCTGGGACTCATCGAGGACTCCAGACCTGAGAGGAGTTTTCAGGGATTTCTGTGTGGCGAAGTCTTCGGCTTTTAAGGCGGATAATGGATGAAGGGAACAAGTCGGATGTGATGTGAGGTCGACATGGATGTCCTGGACAAATTCAGAAAACAAAGAAACACAGATCCTAAAAATATATATGAAAGAAGTGTGGGAAACAAACTTCTTAAGGGCAATGTCAATGGATTGACATTTTCCAACATGCTCTTCCTACAAAAATCCTTTCTGAGAGGGGATCATGAGGTCACTTTTAAGCAAATCCGGATTCTGTAGAGGGAATAATAACCTTTAAATTGTTATATTATATATAATACAGGGCTCCAAGTGCCTCTTCAGAAGGTATTTGGACCCTCCAAACCCGTCCAAACCCACCCCAAACACCTTCTTAGACGGTACTTGGAGCCCTAGGGATAGTCATAGTCGTTTATTTCACCCAGCTCGAGTTCGGGCACTTCAGTTTGATTCAGTTTGATTGTAGTTGTTGATGCAGTTTTTGGCCCTCGCCCTGAAACTGGACATCAAGTGGGACTGTGGGACTGTCGAAACCAAAGGCCTTGTCAAACCCCAAAGGTTTTTTTCTGAGTGACCGAGCTACACACCCAAATGCCTTCCAGTTGCAATGACCACAATACAGCAGGTTGTTCCAGGCTATCTGAACACAGAAGACTTCTGGTTGAGATTGCTCAGTTGGCAGCACTGGCAATGGCCGCAAATGGGGTCTGAGTGATGTCACCATTGTCGCGGCACCATTGACCAACGCCCCAATGGCTCCATAGCTCGATGGGTGCCGTAGAACCTTAACGGGACGGGCATCCCCTTCATCAGCATCCTGCGAATCCCATGACACAGCAAGGCCCCTGCCATCCTGCAGCTGGCTTGATGGTGAAGTGGTGCACCCCTAGCAGTCCAGGCACACCAAGCATTGCCAATCATCCGTTTGGGGCCGAAGCGGCACCGAAGCGGTGGCGGTGCATCTGTCCGTGGCTCCCCCAAAGGGTTGAGTCCGGACGCTGGGTGCAGGCGATGATGCGAAGCAAACCATGATCAAAGTGTTGCTTTGACCTTTGGAAGTTGTCCATTTGGGTATTCCCAAATCCATTGAACCATCGATGAGGGAAGCAGGGACATGAAGAGGGTGATGTGGTGAAGCTTTGGGAAAAGGGGAACTCTTTGCGCGTTTTGGTTTTGGACTCACTAGTTCACTCACTGTATCCCTAGGGCTCCAAGTACCTCCCCAGAAGGTATTTGGACCATCTAAACCCACCCCAAACACCTTCTTAGAAGGTCCTTGGAGCCCTAGGGTATATGGTTTTTCCAGTAGACGTGGAGAATCTTTGTTGGCGCCCGAAACCTTGCTGACGTCTTTGTATAAAAGAGAACAGGACCCAATTGGTTGCGTGTGTGCGGGAGTTGACCTGTTCATAAGCAGTTATAGGCGACCAACTTCAAAGGGGAGAATCCTTATGGATCCGACGACACGACCTGTCCCATCGACCAGAAGAGATATATCGCTTCAGTGCTTCACCCCTTTTCAACCACCCCAATGGATCGGTCAATATATGCACTATGGTACACATATATGCACACATAGAGTGTCTGGGAGAAGGGAAGATCCCACGCGGCCACGCAACAACCACGTATACGCGGTCCGTCTTCCTCCGTCCGCCCGATGATCCCGTGGCCTCCAGTGGAGGTGGAGAAGCGGAGCTCCAAGCGCGTTTGCAGCTCCACCACCTGCGACCGCAGCAAACGAGGATTAGACCATCCAAACAGCGTTGGATAGATGGAGATGGATAGAGGGAGATGTCCACATGATCCATATATATATATAATATTTATATATTACTATATATTTGTTTAATTCACCCAGATTGGTGTGTTGACTGTTTTGACATATCTTTTGTATATAGATTTTTGAGTATGTTCAAGTTTTCTCACATTCCAGTTGGTGTTTTTGTTCATGGTATATGTGGCTTGAAGACAGGGCCGGATGTGTCAGGCCGACGGCTGTCCGTGGAGACAAAGGTAGACCAAGCGGCACCGCTGAGGCAACCAGGCACGACCATTGGAATTTACCAGGGACGCACGGCGATGAGAAAGAACACTCTCCCCCCAAAAAAGAAAATGTTCTTCCAATAACCTGGCTTTCAAACAGAAAACAGAACTGCTACAGTCAAGAACTGCGTCATCCATGCGTCATGAATCTGCCTGGCCTGCTGAGCCTGTGCAGCTTCCAAGATCTGTTGGCGCCAGGCAGGTAGCCCTCGGTCGCAGTCGCCACCAAGGGCCATTGAGAAGACCCAGAAGCCCCTCCAAAACCCCAGGTTTGGAAAGTCTACCTTTTTTATATCTCCACACCCGTTTAAATTCCTATTATAAACTGTTAGACTTGCTTTTGAATTCCTTTTTGCTTCTCGTTCTCGTTGATTCCTCATTAAAAATATGTCGATATCAAACTTTAGCATATTTTAGCTATTTTGATGTTTGACTCTGATTGATTTCCTTTTCAAATTCCTTTGGATTCTTGATCCCCTTTTCAATACCTTGATTTCCCTCTTCAGTTCCTTTGACTTCACATGAGATCCTCTTGATTCTTGGTGATGTCCTCTTAAACACCTGTGGTGGTAATGTCTGCAGAGGACAGCAGCAGGAGAGAAGGACTCAAGGTTCGCCAGCGCAGCGAGAGGACAGCAGGAGACAAGAGAAGGAAGCACGACAGCAGCAGGACACCAATAGGACAAGAGGAGGACCAGGGTTTGCGAGCGCGGCCAGCAGGAGAACTGGAGGAAAGAAGAGAACAACACCCGGACACAGGGTTTTGGGGCCAGCGTCTATTTTCCTAAGAGAGAACCCCAGCAAGAGGACAAGAGGATAAGGTCTGGAGATCGGTTGGCAGCCGTGGCCAAGCTGGTGTCAACAAAAGGACGACAGGAGGGCAAGTGGAGGACAAGAACGTGTCAAGAGGAAGACAAAAGGATAACAGGAGGACAAGAAGAGGACAAGAGGAGGACAATGGGGTGACAAGAAGGAAGAAGACAAGAGGAGGAAAAGAGAGAAAAAAGAGGACAACAGGAGGACAGGGTCTGGGCTGGCAGCCGCAGCAAAGCTGTACAGAAGAAGGATAAGAAAAGGACAACAGGAGGACAACACCCGGACACTGCGTTCACCAGCTGCATCGTCGTGGTTCAACCAGTCCGACTTGTACCAGTAGGCCACCAGCACGGGCCCCGCGGCCAACTCAGAATGCCCGTTGAGATGCTTCAGGTTCTTGAATTTGTCGTCAGAGTCAGGTCACATGTCACTGTTGACCTTGAAAGTGGGAAGAATGTGGCCCAAGTTCCCTGGCTTCAGCAAGACCGACTCAATTCGGCGAGTTTGCCAAACGCCAAGCGCTCTTTCCGCATCAGACTTGTCAAGAGTGCCTGTCAATCATGATGCATAGGGAGGGCGACTTCGCACTTGGCCAAGTCCGCACAAGGCAAGCATGGGTGATGATGCGGATTGATTTGACGGATGCTTCGATAAGCGATATCACGTAACGATTGGACAGGAATCTGCAAAGGAAAGAGTATTAAGTGACAGTCACCTGACGATTCGGGCCTGCATGTGTTCTTGAGAAGTTCTGCTGTCTGCACTTCCGTCGGCTCGTCATCCAGTTGTAATTTGGTGCTGTTGGCCTTGCTCATGGTTTGGCCGCTGTCCAGCAGGCAGACTGCCTGTGGAAAAGTTGCTGTGAGGGACAGAAAGGCGCCCACTTCCAGCTCGCTGGTCTCGTCGATGAACAGCACCCCTGGGTTCTTGGCTTTGAAGAACTTAATGCAGCTCAGTCCCTTGTCTGCTGCCAGGAGCCGCAGCAGAAATCCATGCGTGCGCAAGCAAGATCGGAATTGCGTCATTTCGACTTCCCGCTGATAATAAA